CCTCTTCCTCCTTTTCCTTCTTCTTCTGGCTTCCCTTTATTCTGGTCCTTAGACGGAATCTTTGTCTTGCAGCTCTTTTAGTTGTAACCCACTGTTATTATTACTGGATGCTATTAGTGTTGTAGTAGGATGAGTGGGTAGGGTGGGATAGAAAGGGATGTTCCCTTATCTCCTAAGCTTCAAAATAAGTCTCAGTCATTTTTGGGCTTGTGCTTCAGGGGTGGGGTTAAACCTTCAGAAGACTTTCTCTCTTACTGTTTCCAATCTATTTTCTTGCAGTCCCCTCCCAAATGACTATACCTTACTTTATGTATTTATTTACTTATTTACTTACTCACTTACTCTTACATGAGACAGGAAGGTTGGAGAGGACTGGAGTTTGTGGAACTCTTTTCCTTCAGCTTGGAAAAGTTTCAGAATAGCCCTCTGGAGAAGTCCCTCCCCTGTGAGGTAGACCTGCTAGGAGAAGGGTCTGGAGAGTTTTACAGTAGCTACTTTTCCATCCCCTCTGCCATGCCCATGAGGGGATCTTTCTCTATCTTCACCCTGAAAACTTGATGTGGTTCCTAGAGGAAAGGGCTATGAAAGCATATGCCCCCCCTTTACTGTCCAACCCCCCAGCTTCTTACTCACTCTGCAAGAACTTGTCAAAATTACTTTTTAACTCTTCCTACCAGTTTTTGTCATTTTGCAGCTTCTGCTCCAGGTCTTGGTTGTTATATTTCTCTGAATGCACCTGTTTCTCCATGTTTCAAGGAAGTTATTTGTCCTGTTTTATGATGGATCAAGAAAAGCCATTCATTTTGTTTGTCCAGGTTTTTCTTGTTGTGAGGATAGGAATGACAATTTTCAAGGTCTTACATATAACAACAACAACAACAACAACAAAACCACCTTTCCCCTCCCAAATATGGGTGTGGGTGATATGTCCCTATCGCCATGGAGCCTAGGGCATTAACATCAGGGCCTCAGGACAGCTGGGCCTTGGGTGGGTACAGGAAACAGGATGTGTTGTTCATTTTTAAAATGCATCTTCTCATTATTGTTTCATTTTTACAGTTTTTAAGAGGACTTTAATAAAGAGGATTTAGGGAATAAAGAAGTGAGCACAGCATTGTTTGTAACAGCAAAAATAAAAATAACTTGAATATCCATAGGGGAATGTTTAAATTAATTGTTACCTACAGGAGACTGTTGTGGAGGTGTTCAAGAGAATGGAGAAACTGCTTGCTGCTGGTACCTGCTAAGAAGATGTCTGAGAGAAAGAGAGAGAATGACAGCAGGCAGGAGCAGAGTGGGGAGGGCCAGAGGGAGAGGGAGAAGCCAGACTCCCCAGTGAGCAGTGAGCCAGATGCCGGCTCCATCCCAAGACCCCGGGATCATGACCTGAGCTGAAGATAGATGCTTAAGGGAAATAAGTCAGAGAAAGACAAATACCATATGATTTCACTCATATGTGGAATTTAAGAAACAAAACACGTGAACATAGGAGAAGGGAAGGAAAAATAAAATAAGGTAAAAAAGGGAGGGAGGCAAACCATAAGACAATTAAATATAGAGAACAAACAGAGTTTTGGAGGGGAGGTGGGTGGGAGGATGGGGTAACTGGGTGATAAGCATTAGGAGGGCATGTGATGTAATGAGTAGTGGGTGTTATATGCAACTTAAGAATCACTAAACTCTATCTCTGAAACTAATGATACACTATATGTTAATTGATTTTAAATAAAAAAGATGTCTGTGATGCACTGTGCAGTAAGAAGGATTAAAGTTCATGTGTGCTTATGTCATGGACGCAAAAAGGGTCTGAGGACACATCTAGTGTTTGAGAAGGTCAGGGAAGTGGAGGCTCAGAACTTCACATAGTTTGGACTGGTTGTAGTAAATGGGAGTTAGTTTTGTAATCAAAACAACAGAAGGATAAAAGAAAGGAGACTCACTTTTTATTGTTTTCTGTGTCTTTTGAGTTTTGTATCCTGTATTTATCCCCATTCCATAAAAAGTAAAATAAAATAAAATAAGAAACCAAGAAAGGTAAGATGTACCCCCCGATGTAGTTCACTGGGTCTTCCTCAGCATGTGCTGGCCTTTACCCCTTTTCAGCACCTCCCTCCTGATCTCTGTCCAGCCTTCCTGGTGCACCCCAGGCCACCCTGCTATAGGCCCAGGCCACCCCCACCATTAGGGCAGGCTGGAAGGCTACCTGGCCCCCTCCCAGCACCTCTCAGTATCCATGCAACCTTGGAAGGCTGGAAGGTTGAAAGGCACAGTGCACAGGCCTCAGGGTACACCCCAGTCCTCTGCTTGTCACTGTGTGACCCTGGGGAGTCACTTAGACTCTGTGAGACATCTATGAGCTGGAGTTTTACTTTATATGGGAGAAACAACCTCCTATAATTTCTATAGCCATGTATAAATGAGAGGGTTAGAAATGCCCAGAATTCTGAAAACACCCCACAGGCCTCTGCTACTCCCAGCACTGGGCTAGGCACTTATCCCAGAGGCTGGCCCAGCAGTTCCATTCTTTCCTCTCAGTGGGTCACCTGAAGAACATGCCCCATCAGACTGGCACTGCCTGTACCCCTCTTGCAGGGGAGGGCAGCCCAAGAGGTGGGATGTAGAAAGAGATGGTCTGAGGTTTCCTCAGACCCACTGGACATAAGAGAAAAGGAAGGCCCTCCTCTGTTCTCTCAGCAAGGTGCCTGGTAGGCCACTGCTGTAATCTCCCACCACATTGCAGAGAATGAAAATTTCTAGGTTGTCAAGATTGCTTAAGATGCTTCCCATAGTGAGAGCCACTGGGCTGGTGGTTCCTCTCAGGCAGGCATGACCTCAGTTCCTTTTCTCTGCTGCTCTGTTGCTGGATCACTGCAGACTACCTTCACCATAACCTCTGGGTCCTGGACCTCCTTGGTTTCTGCCTTTACCAGCACTCTTGGGACTGGTTGGATTCTCCCCACCAGTCACCACGTCACATCAAGGAAACACTCCCTCAGAACCCCTGCAAGGTAAAAACAACTCTGCCACTCTTCAGACACAGGCTCATATTCAATAAGAAATCAGAAAACCATGAGCAACCTTTTGATATTTCATTCTTTCAACAAGTAAATATGTACTGAGGCCTTGCTCTGCTCGAGTGCCATACAAAGTGATAAAGACCATGATTAAATGAGGGATGCCCCCTGCCCCCAGGCACTCAGGTTGCTTACAGGGAGACAGGCAGCTGGTACCCAGAGGGTGCCCTAGAAGAAGGGAGTAGTGAAAGTTTTGGAAGAGTTCACTAGCTGCGTGTGTTCATGGGCAAGTCATATCAGCACTTTGTGCCTTGGTCTCCGTATCTGAAAAATGAAGACAACTGCATTCAGGTTGATGCAGGGATGAGGTAAACTATTCCATGTGTAACCTGCTCCTGGCACAGCTCAATAATGCTAATCATTTGTGGAAGTCCTAGGAGGGGGATACATGTGTGGTTTTCCAGGAAGACTGGCCCTGACCTTCCCTCAGTGTTCCAGGGATGGGCCTGGTCAGAAGCCTATAGGAGCACACAGTAGGCCCAAGTAAGCAGTTGTTACCAAGGGCTACAGAGCATTTTCTAGTCTGAAATGAAGCCTCAATCAGGAGAGGCACCAGCCTGTGGTCAGCTGTCAGACAGCATCCCTCTGGTTGGAATTTCTCCCCCACCACCTGACCTACCCCTTTCTATGATGACCTTTCCTCTAGAAACAGTTTCATGTCTGTGGCATCCCATCCTTTGCATCTCACTGCAGCATGTCGGGTGAGGTAGGATCTAATCATAGAGAAACTCGAGGCATGGTCTGTCACCGTACCTGATGTCCTGATTCTTGCCCTTCCTGAGGCTGCGGGCCACCTTTCCCCTCCACGATTCTGAATATTTGGTACTGTGCGTGTTGTTGTGGCTTTCAGGAAGATGAGAGTTATAGCTCCATTCCGAGGTAAGTTTTCCTGAAGGGGAGGCAAAGATGCTGTGTGGAGGGGCAAGAATGGCAGAGTTGTGGACAATCAGCTTCTGCCCTGAGAACATCCTTGGCTTCATTTAAAGGAGTTGGGGAAAGTTATTGGTCTGATTTGTAATAGAGAATTCACCAACACCCATTGACTAGGGTCTGCAGGGTCTAGCCCTGGCAGGGTTGTTGTCTGCTGATTAAAGGCCTTAATGAGATGAGGCTGGTCCTGCTTCTCATTCCCACGAGAAGTCCTTCAGGGCCCCAGTACATTGTGGCTACTTGTCCTGGGGGTAGAGAGCAGGCTGGTGTGGGGCCAGTGGACATTCCTGAGCTCATCCACAGTGCCCCATCCTGCCTGTCTCCCACTCTGCCTCCTGCCCCTAAGCCTTAGACCACACATTTATTTTTCTCAAGCCCTATGCAGACTTCTTGGCTCCCTCTACTTCCCATTTATAAGATGTACTGTTATCTTCCCATCAGTTTCAAGCCTGAGCTCCTCTCTCTAATATGCTGTATGAGAAGCTACGTGTGGCCACTTCACAGCCAACTGGGACTCAAGTCTTCATTTCTTTGTGGGGAAATCATTGAGGCACACTTTGAGAGCAGTAGCAGCTGTGCAGCTGTCCTTGGCCTTGGGCTGCCCAGTACTTGGTCTGGCTGATCTGGTTCAGGCATGGATGCTCCACATTAAAATGCTTTGCTCCACTTGCCTGTGTCCTGCTACCCCCACCCCCCAACAATCCTTACATCAGGGACAAAGGATGGAGATTTGGGTGTTAGGTTCTCTTAAATGTGGCCACAAAGACACAGTTTCTGGTGAGTGAGGCCCCATGCTATAGGTAAGGCTCAGCCATGCTGGTCTGGGAGCTCCTATTTCCGGTTAGTTGCAGAGGAAGACTTCGTGGGCCAGGAAACTGTAGCAACTTTCTGGGGCACTTGCAGAGGGGGCTCACTTGTACTGGCTGTTGGAAGTGAGGTCTAGGATTCCTGGCAGTTGGCCCAAGGGGCTCAGCTGGGTAGTAGGGCCAAGAGGGGCTACAAATCCAGCTGGCCCCTATGTACCGCCTGCTCCGCAGCCCTTGAACTGAGCTGCAGGGGCTGGTCATCCATAGAGGCATGATGAGCCTGGGCATCCATCCTGGTGGGCTCCACCCTGAGCTGGGTAAGATCCAGGACGTGGCCCAGGCACCTCTGGTCCTGTGGGCTGTGGAGTGGACTAGCCAGGGAGGGCAGGCCACACACAATCGGCATGCTAGGGAAGCTGTTAGTCTGTTTCTGCTGGAGAATATCAGGGCCCCTGGCCTGAGGGTGCCTACAGAACTCACTGCTTGTGTCCTGCCTTGGGGACTGTGTAGTAGGGGGCTGGCAGTCTGGGTGGATGTGCAGGGCTGCAACCTGGGCCACACAGCCTGTCAGGGTGGGCTCTACATTGAGGGTGCTTCCGCCAGGACCTGGCCTCCAGGGACCTTGGAAACACTCCAGATTCCCAGGAGGCCTGGGCTCCTGGAAGCCAGGCCAAGGGTTTGGGACCTTATTTTTGCTAGAGGTGTCTTTTGTTGCAGAGGCTGCAGACCCCACAGAAGAGAACAAGCCTTCATGGCAGCCTTGCATCTTTCCTTCCCCAGAGACCTGCACACACTCCAGAGATGGGTCCCTGGACAGAGTGCTGGTTCCCTTCTCGGGCCCTCCTAGGACCTTGCTCTCTCCAGCAAGCAGGGCCTTGGGACCCGAATGTGCCCACAGCTCCTGCCTGCTGGGTGCTGAGTCCACAGTGGTCCTACCTGCATCTGAAGCCCTAGCCCCCCTGCCCTCCAGCTTCACTGGATCTGGGCCCTTTTTCTCGGAGCCAGCTCCCACCTTCTCTGCCTGTCCCCTGGGTGAGGTTGCAGTTTCTCCAGGGGCTGAGGCAGGTGGGGTGCGGAGTTCAGGGCCACGGCGAAGCCAGTTGATAATGCCCATGGTGATGGCAAGCTCAGTGTCACAGAGCTTTAGCAGGCACTCCTTGCCCTTCCAAGAGCTTTGCAAAAAGCCCTGGCTGAGCAGGTCTGGGCCTGGTGCTGGGGCCAAGTTCTCCTCTGCCCCCACATGGAAGCTGCACATGGACAGTGGTGCTCCTAGGGCTGGCCCTGACAGACTCTCAGACACACATAGGTCATCATCCAGGCTTGGGCCAACAGGGTCCTCGCTGGGGTCATAGAAGAGCTCATAGAGGGCATCTCCACTGTAGCTGTCCCGGGGGAAGGCTGCTGCAGGTGTGCCTGGACTTGAAGCCTCCTTCTTGTCCTCCTCAAGCCCAGGTGAGAAGGAGTCATAGTAGCCCTCATCACTCGTGGACACGGATTCTGGCTGCTCGCTCTTAGGGGTACCTGTGTCTATGGAGCTGGCTTTGGAGCCACTGTGGGGATCCCTACAGGGACACAGGGGTAGCTCAGCAAGCCCAGCTGCATCCAGCCTGGGCCGGTCTGTGTCTGTGCCCTGGGGACCCCCCAGCCATGGCCCCAGTAGGGCACGGTGCTGCTGCCTCACAGAGTGATTCACACTGTCCCAGAACTTGGCAAAGTCAGACAACTCGTTTTGGGCAGGTGATGCCGGCTGTTCCACACTGCCCTGGAAGGGGCCCCTAAGAACCTTGCTTTCAAGGGCCTGTGATCCCTGGGTTGGGCTCTCTGGACCCTCGTTCAGTTCCAGGGATGGCACTGAACTTTCATCTGCAAAGATCTCCCCACAGCCCGTGAGAGAGTCAAAACTCTTGAGTGAGGCCACATCCTCACACAGGGCCCTGCAGAGGTCAACAGAAGAGTCAGGCAGGAGCTCACTGTCAGATAGGTCCTGGAACAAGCTGTCTGGTCCCAGTCCCTCACCTAAGGGGAAGAAGGTTTTGCCTGTCTGTCCGCCAGCCTCTGATGGGCCCCCAGGGGAAGACAGGCTCTCCCCCTTGGGCACCAGTGAGGCCAAGTTCTCAGTCTTGTTTCTGCGAATGTGGAATAGGTTCCGAAAGCACTTCTTAGGTCGTTTCAGGGAGATCCTCTTCCTTGGGATGCTCTTGGCCACAGCGGGCACAAAGGGCATCTGGGGCACAAAGTGGCGGTAATCAATCATGCGCTGGCTGCTGGGGGGCCCTGGGAAGCTTGCGCTGCCCACCAGCTGCCCTGTGGCTGTGCTTGCCCTGCCAGCCCCAGGCACACTGTCATGAGTCTTGCTCTTTCGTACCAGTTTGAAGGTGGCCCCACAGAAGGCTGCAGCCCCCACCTCGGGTTCTGGCTCTGCCTCCTTGTTGGAGCATCTCTCATATCCTTGGGTGCTGGTACTAACCTGTGGGGCCCTTTCACTCTGGGGCTTCTGTTGCCCTCCTGGTGAGACTGACCAGGGGCTTGCATCCTCCCTGGCCAGAGTGGTGGCTGCTGGATCTGGGGCTTTCTCATGGGAAATCTGCAGGCTGGATTTGATGAAGGTCTTTCCTCTCTTCAGCTCCATGCTGCCAGGGCCCCAGACTGCTGTGAAGGAAAGCAGGAGGCACTTAGTATCCAAGGTGTACGCCTATGGCTCTAGAAGACCTCTGCTTACACAGTGGCTTTGGAGCCGAGCTCTGACATCTAAACCTGGATCCTCCGCAGAGGCAGGGAGAGGGAGATGAGAATGGCCTCACCCATGCTCACTGCTCCAGGGCTACCCACTGCTCCACAGAAAACTGATATTAGAGAAGTTAAGTCACATGCTTAAAGTCACAGAGTAAGAGCCAAATTGAGAGCAGACTGGAGTCTGGTGCTCTTGTGTCTGTGATCTCTCAACTCAACCCAGCATCCTCCAGAGTTTATCTGGCCAAGTCAGATTCCCATTTCCAGGCCCAGGCACTCTACAAATAGCACCACATCCTTACAGGGTAAGTATCACAGCCTTTCTGAGTGGTGGAGCAGAGGATTCAATGAATAAGTTCCTGCCTTCATCTAAGAGACAAAGCTCAAAGGGAAACCCAAGCTTGCCGTTTGGGATGGATGCAGGTGCTCATCAGTTGGAAGGGAAGACACATACACTGCCCTCCAGGGCTATTGCGTCTGTATGAGGCGGCAAGACTCAGTCTACACAGAGGCCATCAGGGCAAGGCACAACAAAGCATCTAATGGTGCATGCTGTGTTTGAGCACCGAGAAGAGAGACAGCATCATGGTAGAAGGCAAAAGTGAAGAGTCAGGCATTAGGCCAGGACCAGGCAGGTTAGATAGACACAGCACATGATGGGCTGGAGAGCAGGCAGGTATCACTTTCTGTGCACATCCTGAGAGGTGTTGATGCCTGGAGTGCCATCCACAGTGCCACCCATACAGATGCCCAGTCTGAGTCCAATGGGAAAGGGTGTTGGGATTGATTACTGATGTCTGTCCTGGGTGTGGGAGGGGAAGACAGTAAGAGTGTTCTCTTGACCATTTTTGCATAACTGGGGAGTGTGGCCTTCCTCTGAGGTCAATGAAGAGCTATAAAAGTCTTCTGAGTGAGCAGGTGGGTAGAAACAGCAGCATAATAAAGTTGGTGGTCTAAGACCATTTATCTGATATCTGAGTGGAGGACAGAATAAATTAGGAGAGAAGTTTTGAGCAGAGAAGATTCACAAAAAGCAACTAAAGTGGGTTGAGTATGTGAAGATAAGATCCAGATGGAAGCTGTAGTCATAAGTCACAAAAAAGAGAGGTGAAGTTATAGGGCCTTTCAAAGGCAGAAACGCTAGGACCCAGCAACTGAAAAAAGAGAGAGAAGTCATCAACAATGAGGAAGCAGTAAATACTGACCCAGAAGTGGGAAAAGGTAAGGAAGTAGAAACTGAGTGAAGGCAAGGAAGGGGCCTGTGCTAAGAACTGGTTTGAGAGACAGAAGCAAGACTCTAACGTTTTAAACATGTTGCCTTCGGGGCAAGTTTAGAGACCTACAAGAGTGGACCAAAAGAAGGTGATGCCCAAGAGCACCACCTGTGAACTTCCCTGGACTCTCCCTCTCTGTATCCTCACGGGCACCCAGTTCACAGCTCAGCCTGTTCCAGCAGCTCTTCCCCTCCTTGGTGGTGAGCAAACTTGCCAGTCCATCCTGTCAGTTTGGCCAAGGAAAGATTAGAGGAGAGAGTTTGGGGTTTCTTTGACTCTCCATAAGGACTTACTTAATAGGGAGCACCTGAATTCACTCCCCCATAGTTCGCAGTCTGTGAGGGAGGGATACAGTGGGTATAAAAGCAAGTGGCTCTGTCAGCCTGCATGCCTTTCAGATCTACTGCCCACAAAGCTTTGCAGCTACCTTCAGAAAACTGCTTGACAGATATGAGCTATCCAGGGTCAGTTCTGGAGTCTCTCAAATGCTTAGCCATGAGGACCTGGAGGTGAGCAGAGGGGCTGCCTCACAGCCCAGTTGACAACATTAAAGCTGAAGAAGATGAGAAGGGGTGACAAGGCTGCCATTGCAGGGGCTCACAGGGGCAAGATGAACAGCCTCCACCCTATTCCCACCTATGGGCAGTGCTTCCTTCCCTGCAGAGGGACACCTGGGACTTCTGGCTGGAGGACAGGAGGAGTTGGCACTGTGCCAGGGAAAACCACAGACTGGACCTGGCTCTGGTGGCAGCTCAGCTCTTGGTGACAGCGTCCTGGACACTGGGACAGTGCTTCAAGCTGCCTTTCTGCCTCCTGTGAGGTGGAATGTGCCCAAGCCTTTCCTACCCTATATCTGCAGATCCCATTTTCATTCCTCACAGTCCTTTGTGGCCTAGATAAGTCCTTCCCCAGGTCTGATGGATTTTACTACACACAGCATAGTGGTTACTATCAGGACTCTGGAGTTGAAGAACTCAGATTTGAGTCTTGGTTGCATCTACCTAACCAGGTGACAGCTTGGCCTATAACTTTATGAGACATACTACTGTAACCTCCATTTTACAAAGGAGAAATTAAGGTCCAGAAAAGTCAATAGATTGGCCCAGGTTGCACATGTGGTAAGTGACAGAACTAAGATTTGAAACCAAGCCCATCTGATTCTGAAAATGAGCTCTTAACCACAGTAGGCATTCTATAAACCAATGGCCCAAACTCCTCTTCATGGGAAATTTAAAAATCAAATAATAAATGTGTTTTTATGAGGAATTTTGGAAAGACAATGAAAATGGTGATTAAAATCAAAAGTATGGCTCACACAAATTTAGAAAAATTGTAATTGAAGATAACATAATTTCTATGACAAGAAATTTTAGAGATATTTATTATGAGATCTCTTTTCTATGTTTTAGAAAAATCTTTTTATTACCATACTCTTAGAAATAACTTGAAGTGAGCATGATAAAGATTACTTCACTGTAAGCAGAAATTGCAACTATAAGAACCAAGATGGTTTATCTGATATTGATCTCTATAAATAAAACTGATTTAATTCTTAATTCAGTTAACTGATTTAAAATCACGAAGAACTGGAAATTTCACTGGAAATTTCACATTCTGAACTTGAAAAATGATGTCTCAAGATAACAGTCGTTTCTACAGATGGCTGGACTCAGTGTCACTAATGTTGCCAACTCTGTTTCCTGAGTTCATTTCACACTTTGGCACATTGATAGGGCAATAAGCACTAAGATTCAGAATAATGATTGAGAGACTTGCAAAATACTGGAGCAATTATGTGAAATTCGGTGTATGTTCAGTTCAGATTCTACATTAAAATATTTTATCAGAGCCTGACTCTTTAGAAATATGGATCCCATATGTGACATGGGTGGGATCTTCTTGGGGGGGTCAGAGGGCCTACTGCCCAACTGGAGAAAAGCTGAGCAGTCACCTTCCATGACAGTTCTCAGGAACAGAATGGAATTTATCTGGACAGCCAGATGCTGGCACTGTCATTGCCTGAGGGCAGAGGCCAAATATGTCCAGGTTCCCAGCTGAAAAATGCACATTCTGCTTTGTAACCCTCTGGCCAAAGACCCCTCCAGTGGAGTTCAGCATGAAACCTGACAGGGAATCCTCTACCATGTGCCACATCCTTCCCCAAAGGACAAAGTAGCCCTGTCCCTTCCCTGGTTTGGGGCCTTCTTGTCTGTAGCACTCAGTGATCACTGGTTCCTCATTCTGGTGTTTGGTCTTCTTACTCCCCCATGAGGTTGAAAAATTCTCTAAGATTCAGGACTCCAACTGTGGTTGACAGTGAGCCACTGCTTATTTAAATGAAATATTTATGTTTTTGAGACATTTTAGCCATATATTTACAACTAAGTTTCCTAAGTAGGATGCAGAATCTGGCATTTTTAATTCTATAGTTTTTGCACATCATTCTCTGAGAAGGGTCTCAGTGACACCAAGACCTTGGAATGAGTCTTGCATCTCTAAAATTAACATCCAAATTCCATGAGAGCAGGGACCACACCATGTATTTATTTAATCAACTCTGATTTAGGGATGTGGTATTTAAACCAATCTAAAAGACAGCGGCAGACAACCAGGCAAAAGATGTGGGAAGCATATTCCAGGCAGAGGGAACATCCCTCAGAAAGGCCTTGCAGAGCAAAGGATGAAGAAGAATATTTAAAGCTCTGAAAGGAGGCCTAGGTGGCTAGAGCAGCAAGCCAGTGGGATGAGGCCTGGAGATCGGAAGGGCAGACTGTACCAGGCCTGAGGTCACAAGTTGGGTCTTGGCTTTCATCCTATGCACCTTGGAGGCACAGCCATCAAGGGTGAGTAATAGGGGCCAATTTTCAGTTTTAATAGATCAGTTGTAAATGAGAATGGAAAGCAGGCTCAAGAGTGGAGGGAAGAAGGCAGATTAGGAGTCAGAGCAGGGTCTAGTGGAGAGTAAGTAGTGACAGAGACTTTCCATGTATGCTAACCTTTCCTCTCAGTGCCTTACACAGAGTATGCACTTGCATATGGATTTATTGCAAATTGAGACTATGAAGTAATTCTACTGGCTGCTTTTCTACGAGATGAATAACCTTAGCTCGACTGCCTAGGATTTTCTTTTCCCTTTGGGAAGGTAATTCTGTGAGCTTCTTTCCTTTTATAACATGAAAGCGATTGGGTATATCACAGAGCAAATAAAAACCTTGCAGGTACACATATATAATAGAAGTGGTTTGGAGATATAAAAATTTTGACTAATAGTTTTGGCATTTGCCATGCTTCTCCCTGCCCTGCCCCCAACATCCAGCAAAACCACAAGCCTTGAAATACAAAGAGGTGAATGGTGATAAGAAAGCAGAGGCCTCAGAGGGGAGCCCCACCAAGGGACTTCCTGGACACTGGGGTCAGAGTGGGAGGCTATGTAGGCGGCAACAGTTTATCTCTGTAGAGTGTGCCTTGTCTAAGCCAAAACCTTCAGGATTGATGGAGTGAAGGCTATTGTGGGGAGAGAAAGCCTCGTGTTATGGGGTGGGTGTGGGATGGGGAATGAAGCAGAAATAGAATCTGCAGTGAGAACATCACCAATTTACCCAACCCCCACGTCGGAGAGACAAAG